CGCGAAAGTTCGAGGAAATGGCAAAATGGTAACATTTTGAGCGAAACGACCTGTGCAACTCTTTGGTCTGGTTAAAATTTTAAACACGTTTTTAGCATACCTCCTTTTCTTCTTACGGTGAACGTACAAACTCGGGATTGCGTCGGAAAATTTCATAATTTACATGTGAATATTTCAGAAGAATGCTCACTTCTTTACAAAGCATTTGTGTAGTTCAAATTTTTATCTTTTTATTGTAATGGCAGTAAGTGAATATTTTTCTTATGGAGAAAATTCCCTTCTTTCGTTTGAAATGTTCCCGTTCTTTTATTTCCCTGAATTTTTTTAATGTTCCTGCAGCATTTATGTTTTTCTTATTTAATTGATTTAATTTATATTTCATTTATTATTAAATTTATATTAATATTATATTTAATTTATTTAATTTATAAATCAGTTATTCCACTTTCTAGAATTCACATTGGCTGCCTCGTCATTCATATATAAATGACATAACTTTGTACAGAAGACTGGTTAAATATCTTCTTCTAAGGCTTCGTCATTCATATTTTTTCATTGCGATTCATATTTATAAAACATATAATTACTACAAAACATGTTCAAAAATGTATTCCTGTAGTTAAATCATGTCAATAAATGGAAAAAAGTGAGTTAATATTGTTTTCATAATGGTGGCAGTCATATTAACGATACCCATAAAAGAGTATCAGAAAATTAAAACAAATTATGGTAATAGTTATAACGAAAAAAGAATATTAAATATACTTGGCAGTCGATCTGATGAATGTCAACCCTTCGCACTCTACAGTGTTTTGCTAGAAATATTTAACATTTTGTAATGAAGACATAAGTAGTGTTCATTGAAACCACTTTAACGATAGTACACGCATAGAATAAGGAACAAAACGATTTCACTTCAATATTTTACATTAGGAGATGCATTACACAATGTTTAATATTAAATATTAAACTATACAACTTTATTGTACCAAACCAAGTGATGATTAAGAGTCATCTCTCGAATACAAAGAGTGGAAACAAAAATGTTTGAAAATCCTGTTTTTGGCGACTCACTGTTTGTGCATCATCTCCGAGGTTCGAGTTTTAACGTGCCGGAATTTGAATGCATATCCGTTTTTGTGGCCAGCTCGTACACAATGGCCATCTTCCGCGTGGCGACCGCGCGTCCCCTCTCGTGGATACGCGTGTCCGAAAGGGTGGCATTAGAGCCACCGTTTTCCTGGCCAACCGAAATTAGCATAGGGGATTAGTGCGTCCGTGGCTTAAAGTAGACACGCATGGTTGCATGCCGATAAGACTTTATTAACGTCAGGTTTATTTATCCTGTAATTTCTCCCGACCCGTGACCCGCTACGCTCCACCACGACTTTCTCTGCTCGGCTTTGGGATAGGCTGCCACACAAACACTAGCTCAAGTGAGAATTTCCGCTGGTTGGAGGATAAACTTTCATTAAAGAAATTGAATTTTTTTAATTGAATTTTTTAACTGAATAGTCTTTGTTTATTTTTCTGTGGCACTGAGTTTTTGCTGAACCTTCTTCCGTGCTGTTTTCATAACCGTGCACGATTATTCTTTAGTACGGACGTTGTGACAACAAAAGGTGAGAGATTTGCTTAAAAACAACTTATAATGTAATAATGTTAGTAACGGAATATTTCACGTCACTTTGAGATCATTGGTTTATGGCTGCGAAACATTTTCACCGACTTAAGGATGCGTGTGAATCAGTATGTTTTAAATTTTCGAGATGTAATGGCAGGTCATTTCAATGTTTAAGGCGTATTTTATTTAATGAGCGGGATTTAAGTGCAGTTTAATGAATATTGAAAGCAATATTTAAATAAATAATTGACAGACGATTTTGTAAAAATAATAGACCCAAGGAATAATTCTGTGGTAATTTATTACAAACATTTTGATCTGTTAATCTAGCACATATATAAAATGTTTGTGTTGAATGTTACTTGAGTACTTATAATAATGACTATAATGTGTATACACCTATGTTCTTATAATTAAACTTGGAAATTTTTATTTCTACTACATTCACGTTTTATCTACTTTTATATTCGTAAGGTAGGATCGCATTACTGCCATCATACGTGAACTCACTTTGTCGTCACAAAAATGAGAACACTTTTACACTTGTTCTTAAATAGTTAAAATACGCGATGCCGTGCATTCCAGCTGTGAACTCACGTTACTATATACAGACCCACTCGGAGCTCTTATGTAGAATACGAGTATGGAGAAATTCTTTTAACGCCTTCTCATTTAATAAATTATAAATTCGGTTTTCATTTAGACAAGTCCCCACTATTTCGAAATGCTTAACTCCCGTTTCAAAAATGGAATAGAATCATTAAAACAAATTACATATATTTCGAAAACTGAAAAATATATAATTCATTTATAAAGAAATTTATTTTAAAATTAATCGAATTAATGTTTACACCTGATATGCTTTTAACCTACTATCGTATGGAGAGTACTTTTAGTTTTGCAAATAATACTGAAATTGGTTCTTAAAGAGAGAGAGATTTTTCTTTACTCCGGAAAGGCACTGTAACTTTATTTATGCGACTGTTAGGTCCATTATAAAATTTATTTTAACTTAGTGATTTTAACTCAATGATTTTGCTAAGGTTCACATAATGAGACAGTGATACGTTCCTATTTACACGTTTGTCAAATTTATGTGACAAAAGCTGTCTATTTAACATTTAATAATACATTATTAAACAATATTCTTCGATTTTTACCTAACGCAGTTCTACTTCAGACATTTCTGTAAATTTTATAATGTCACAATAATATTTTTTAAATACTTTATTGCCATACAACTTATATGGTATTAAAGAATATGTTGCTTTAAAAACTCTCATATTGTTCTTTTGTATAATATTTATAAATAACTTTGGAAAAAAACTATACATGTACTATTCTATTTGAAATACTTCACATATTTTAACTGACGACTTTTAAATACTGAAATTATTCTATTCTAAATACCAACTGAATAAAGATTTATCAAAAACTAAATACACTATGATTTCCATCTATATAAACATGAGAATGTACAATTCGTATAGTTTTAATTTAACAAAATGCAAAACTGGAAGTAACATATTTATATTTTAAAACACTCGCCGTACACGTATTCTCCTTAAATAAATTAATTAGGTATTCAGTTCAGCTACAAATAACTTTCACTTTTCTTTTCTGACTACTTTTCTATCTAAAACAATTATCAATCTTCTTCTATCTACCGTATATCTTCTCTTTATTATTGAAATTAGCAATTTTCCATAAAATAAAATAATTCGGCCACTATTTACCTTTATTCATTATCTATTACATTTTCGTTAACTACATGGAAAGTTAATCACGGCTCAACCGAATACATAACAAAATTTCCTACATCTGAGAAGCAACGTTAACTGCAAGGGAAGTGCATCTCATTGATATATAAATTTTTTCTCAGTTATCGTATTAATATGCATCAAAAAGAAATATACTTAATTTCCACAAAAATCTTTCATTTTCACTCTTCAGTTAAACGTCTAATCTAAATAGACTTTAATCCCCCAATTATAACAATGTATTCAAATATATAAAAAAAATGCGTTTTTCGTTTATAAAGAGCTTCCATCCCAATTACTCAATTAATTCCAGCAACAAAGCATCCCACGAATTTACAAAGAAGAATCAACTCCTAGGAAAGGAGGTGCTGAAACAAAAATCCGTGACTCGAGAATCGAGAGAATCTATTTTTTCGGAAAATCCGGGTCGTGGCTGATTTCACATCGCCACGCCTTGTTGTCGATATTACACGCGAAACAGAATATGATGCGCTTCAGTCCAGGCCCGCGGTTGAGGAAGAGGGAAAAAAGGAAATGGAGTAAGTATTCGACTAAAAGCATTCCGGCGAACAAAACGCAACCTGACTTGGAAACACAAATTTTATCCTCCTATCATGGAATGGTTTCCTCGGTCTGTGATAGATATTGTTCCACAGTGCATTTCCATCCACGCACGATATATCGGAAGACGCATCGCTCGTATGCAACAATGCGATCGTTCCCGTTCTCGAGTTCTTTTTGCCACGGAATGATCGTTATGCGACCACGCGTGCTGCTGATTTTCGAGGCCGGTACAGTCAACGAACATCTCACGACAATAAGCTGAAACTTACGATTTTTACGGCCTTTGTTGCGGTCCGGTCGCTGTTTTCGCCAAAACAGTTACCTGCCAACAAAAGGTTGCTCATTCAAATGGAATTAATCATCGATAAAGCCCCCGAGGGATTAATAACAAATATGCGGATGAATGAAGCGGGTTGCAATTAAACTAGCAATCAACACGTTCGCGGTAATGAATTAGTTGTAAAACCTGCACGTTCGGAACAATAATGAAGTTATAGCCGGCAAACTTCAAGGAAAATCCAGCAGAGCCATTCGACCGTAATATTATTTACGTGTAATAACAACGTAATCGATTTATTGGGGCCAAACTAAGTTCTTTTTATTGAATACATTTTAAGGGACCTGGAAACGATTGAAACTTTGGAAAATGAGTGCGCTTTCCAGATTAAACTTTAATTATATTGTGAGACTATATGGTAATGTTTGCTTTTAAATAAATATTTCAATGGGAATTGGTTACTTCTCGCATTTTCGAACGTTTTATTTGAACCGTTCATTTTATATTATTTCTTTAGCTCTTTTAAATGATCATTGTTATAAAGTGATGAAATTAATCACTTATTCGCTATTAACATATTTATTCTATTATATTCTGATTGAGGTATTAAGGAAGTTTCAGATACTTCTTTAATTACTTTGAATAAGAGAGTTTTTCTCGTTTTCAATCATTTTCGATAGCATGTTTTAATCCCTCCTTTTCGCACGAAATTCGAGTAAAAATACGATGTTATGGAGAGTTACTTACCTCGATGTTTATAGAATAATTGAGTCTGTTACTGCGTCTTTTTTCTGAGATACGATTTCTTGTAGTAGTCGCAGAACATGTAGAACATAGTAAGTATTTGAGACATGTAGATGTAAGCCACCGGTTTTCGATTTGGCTCGCAGGATGGAAACAAAGTTTGACATGTGTGGCCTATCATAATAACGAATTGGATCTGCAACCACAAAAGAACACATTTACAATGAACGTTGTATTGCTCGTGTTTCAGACAGTTACAATTTCTACAGATATTCTGCGCTTGTGATTTTGTGTTGCTTGCAGTAACTGTTAAAGACTAATTTTAATAACTATTAAATAATCTCTCAGTTTGATTTTTCGAAACATCTTTATAAAAAGTTAATGAAATGAAACAAAATTCTCGAAGATATTTCTTTCCTTGTACTTTCTAAATACATATACTCTTCTAACTTCATTATATTTCGCGAATATACTCAAAGCAACGGAAAACATCCAAGATTGTTCACACAGAACATAGAACTTAAAATATTAGAAAATCAATACATATAATATTGTAATATGATTCAAATTCTCACGATGAAGCAACAACTCTATTTTCTATAAATTACATTACTTTATTACCTATCTTATAAATTACATTAATAACTTCGTAATTACATATAAATTACACGAATATCTTTATAGTCACATATAAATTGCATTAATCGAAACAATTAAATGACATAACCAATTCTTAAAACGTAATATTTAATACTAGGTTTACGGACGTTTATTCTACACTTTATTCCATTGTTCCTAGAAAACTACGTGCTCGTCTATATAGGTCGCGAGAATTGTAGCTTTAATACCAGAGTATTGCAACGCGTATTCACATAGTTGCACGAATCAAAAGCAACTGAAAACGTTACTAAAAAATGTTTAGAAAAATCAATATCCGCCAAATTGACGGGTTCCGTAAATCTAGTGTCAAAGACGTAGCAAAGGTAGAATGTAAGCCAAAAAAAAATATCTGCTTCACAGGAACAATACGAAATGGATGCAACACTCTTCATGCAGGTAGGCTTATTAAGCTCTTTCCTCGTTGTATACGAGACGACATTTTACTCTGCCGTTGTCCTCTTCATCCGGCCATTTCAGTTTGCATAGTGTAAACGTTTTGCTTGAAATTAAATGTCCAAGTAATCCGATAAATCGTCCTGTCGATATTTCGCCAGAACTAAAAGTTCTCTGGAGACGGATTATGTAATTAAAAACCGTGCTGTTGTCGTTCTTCCTGGTTGTATACCTGCACCTCTTTGCCCGATTTCTCCGGCGTCATTTCATTTCGCTGTTGTTTCTCCCAGGATTCAAACCCGAAATCGAATCGCCGCGCCTGCGGACTCCGTCTATAATTTTCCGTCCGGTACTTACGACCTCTTCAGCTTTCGCGGAAACCTGGTTATCGAGTTAGGAAGGACGATTCGCGAATATGACCTAATATTCGCATTCCAGATCGAGTGATGCACACATTTGCTCGACGTTGTGTGTTTCATGTGCACTCCGAAGCATATTGCATCTTTTGCACGGTGATTCGATAACCGAACGTTCAACCGTTCTCTATACAGTTTTCCAGAGTTTACAGCGCAAAAGGAATTATTTGAATGGTATACTTTCGTTTCTGTATTGTTGCACGTGTAGCGTTTATAAATTTCTGGCGAAGGTAAGCCGATGAATTGAAGAAATTACTAATTTCCATGAAGTCTAGTTAGTTTGTTTTGTAGTGGTTAGACTCTTAAGTTTTTAAACTGTTTTGTTTAGAGTTATGTGGTAAGCTGATAAATTGAGAAAATTACGTTTTAGTAAAATTTACTAAATAGTTTAATAGTCAATTTCATATGAGCTGATTATGGTATGAATACGAACCTTTTTAATTGTGATTAACATAAAGGGCGCTAAGATATATTTTTCCTAATATTTGCAACGTGATTATAAATTATGTCTTGATTAACAGTGTGCTTTAACGTTGCTTAAATGAATGAAGTTATTAATAATGAAATAGTATAGACTTTATAATATGGCGATCATTTTATTATTCTGTAAAATATTAATTGGCCGGCAGATATTTTGAAATTAATATGTCACTTTCCATTTAAATTTTTCTTCTTTGCTGTGTATACCTTATTTAAAATAAACTCTGTCAAATATTACTTTCTAGAACATTGGTTTTCGAAAGTTTATAAATAAAAGTTTACAAGTATATATAGTGCAATAAAAAATTATATTCACTGTCATTTCTGTTTTTTTGATATAAATAGTAGTCAATAAAAACAGATGCGTCATGTGCATATATTACTAACACATTAAATAATATTTATTTTGAACTCTTCTTTAATAATAGAATCTCAATAACTGTTATATTAACAGCGTCATTAACTAAATCACAGCGAGTAACGCGGAATCGTATGTTTGAGTTGAAATGAAAGAACTGTTCCGAAAATCTGATTTATTCTCGTTGTTTCAGGGCACCTCAATAAAAAACATTGTTTCCGTGTACCTTTTGGCATTTATGTTTTACGACTGCATGCGTTTCATCTGCAATTCCTGGCAAGCCAGTGAAAGCATAAAGAACAATTTCGTTGTAGCTGTCAGCTACGTGAAACTTATTGAATGTCTGACCGTTTTTGGGATCAATAAGTTTTTTGGAAAGATTAAGTTATTCATTTTTAAACTGGTGTATCCTACTTTTTCAATTAATAGAAATATTTATGTACAGGATGTTTCGTAAAATAAACAATCAAAATTATCTTCATCATTGGCAATAAAAAGCTATTAAAATTAAAATAATTTATATTTTTAAATTAATTTCCTATAAACACAATAATAACTTTCATTGTGTTGAAAACTACACAGCAGTAAATAATCTAAATAATTGCACAAAAGTTTCTTCTCTCGCTAAAAACGATGAACCATATTATATCTTCTAATATTTTTATATGTAAAAGACTAACGTTCTTTACTTATCGTTTTTAATCATTTCTAAAATTTCTACTGGAACACAGGATCAAACGAAAAATTCACGAAATCGCTTCGTTCCATTTAACGGCAAAACATTGTCATGCTTTTAGTAGCACCTACTTTGTTATCAAAGATCTTTACGTGTCGCACATTTTCCAGCAACGTGTTTATCCGAAAATTATACCTTTACAAATATTTCACCGCAGAACAGATTATTGTCATCTCTTGAAAAGTACAGCAATCGCTACCGGTAACTTCGTTTCGTCGAAAAGTCATTCATTGCCCGTTGTTTCTCATCGCAATCCGTTATTGGTCCAGATTAATTTCCTTTAACCGTGTTTCCCGGCCGTAGCGGCCAAACGTCAATAGCAATTCCCTTTCGAAAAATTCGCCGTGCAACGGAATGTAATTTTACGATTACGCGATGCGCGGGCGCGTGTACGGTGAAATGAGCGAATAACGCTCCCAGCACGGCAATTCAGTCAGCGCAACGCACGGCACGACAATATATGCGTTCCGTACTGTACGCGCTGCGCCGGGAGATAGTGAAGTCAGATACAAAATGGAAACGTACCATTTGTAATCCTGTAATGTATTGTTTCCAAGGTGCGATCCTCTTTTGCATTCCTGGGCCCAAGCAAGCAAGGAGATAGTAGGTGTACATAATCACGTGCACTATACAGTTTGGCATAATCGGGAACGTCCACATGCCACCTGAAAATAATGCGATTTTCATTCAGAAAATATTGTCAACTCACGGCTGAAATGAAATTTCGGTGGCCAAGTGAAATTCAAAGAAAGAGATAACAAATTTGTGTGCAGGAAACTTTAATGATGCTTTTAGTTATTTTCTCCTTTTTTCTTTCTATTTTATTTCAAATCTGTTGATCAAATAACTTGACTTCGAATACATTTAAGGAATAACACTAAACAGGGGATGTAAAATTAAAGGATAAATTAAAGGAAAACTAAAACGACATGGAGAAATGGAAATAGTATAATTCTATGGAAATTAAATTTAAACAAAGTTTGTTTATGAAAAATATTGATTTACCTGGCACAAATTTGCACGTTATCCATGAAAGGAGAACGGTAGAAGTGTGATGGTAAATGTGAAGGAAGGTTGCTTGATTGAATTTTTTTCTGAGGATGAAAATTACTGTATCGCCCAGCTCGAAAAGTTTTAATATTAAAAGCCTCCATATCCATCGCGCCATCTGGTAGAAATGACACAAATTGCATTTGTCTGATTCTTAAGTTATAAATTCTATGCGTATAATGTTTGTTTCTATCAACGATGTTCACTACTTACGCGATATGATTCAGCATCATGCGAAACAACATGAATTTCACATCCTAAAGAAAATTTCGTGGTAAAGCCAGACGTAAGAAGCTGGAAAGTTTATAATTGTTAGGTAGAATAGTAAATGTAAAAACGATTTTTTGTGGTAAGTATTAAGTTGTGCGAAGTATTAACTTTACTTGATAATATCGAGCAAGACTTATGAAGAAGTTTTCAATCTTAATTGAATAAACAAGAACACTGTTAACGCTTCCACAGTCGAAATAGAAAAGTACTTTTCCGCTTTAAATGTACAAGGTTTCTACTAGAATTTCCTTCTTCTCTAGTGAAATATTAATTACGGTATAATTCTAGAATACAGTGGCTAAAGAAACCGGAAGGCAAACAGTTGAAACGTACATATTTATATCATCAAATGTGTAAAACACTTTAACTATTGCTGAAAGCCGATGATTCAAAATAAGTTCGATTATTTTTGGTTTTCAACAAATTAGGGTTTTCGTAATACAAAATTTCTTAATTGCTTCCATTAATTGGCATCCATAATTTGGCATTATTTAAATTCAATTTATTCATAGAAATTTCATTAATATTTATTTCTTTATGTACCATCAAATTAAATTATATTTAGTAATATAAGTTTTCATTATTCCCAATACATATAATATTTCTGACAGGAAGAAAAATAAAAATGTTATCTGCTTTCAGAATTGAACGTTTAAACGATAACAAAAGTGTAATGATGAAATATTGAGTCAAGAATATTGATATTGTAAAATGTCGTAAATAAACATCGAATACAAAAGAGCTTGAACTTTTCCAAGTGAATTGAATGGAAATACATATAGGTGTTCAAATTTCTATCGAAATAGCAAACCGCATTCAGTAACAGTGGCTACCGTCATTTGTTCACTGTTTAGAATATCTAGGCAAGATAATTTTACAGGTATAGAAATTCCTGATATCGCAATGTTGTTCTGAAATTATCAATTATAAGTCTTAACTTATTATTTAAAACATTGTTAATAAACAAATAATAATTCTAACATCAATATGTTTCGTCATCCTCTTTGTCAGTGTATTAGTTGTGAATGTAAAAGTGCTTTTTTATTAAAACTGTGACTAGTGTGAAAAAATAACCCTTTACTCTTAGAAGTCCAGAAGTACTCGACATATTTTATTATGGAAACTTGGATGCGAAACTTTTCTTGTATTAAAGTAATAGTATGTTAACTTCTTTGGAAGTAAATACGAAATTAGAATCTTTCATATTTCATTTGCTCCTTACACGTCTTTATTTTGTATTATTTTATTCAGTATTTGTTAAAATATTATTTGTCAATATTGTCTTAATTAAAATTCAAATTCATTAGGATTATACCTAAATTTTTTTGATTATTCGAAACATAGATTTTTCGTTTTATAAATAATATTTACAGTAATCTTTTTTTGAAATGTTCAAATCGCTTCTTTCCATTTAGTGACAGAAAATTGTCATGCTTCGTTTAATACAAATTAAATTTTTGAAACATTGTTGAATTCAATCCAAAAGACACTTTTAATAGTCCATGTTTTATAAAATTGTCGAACATAAAAATATGTTGGTAAAAGTAAATATTTTTTTTACTTTTTACTAACTCACTAGCATCCAGTTGTTTGTTTTATTTAATTGTTAACGTTATAAACATTTTACCAAATCGTTCATTAATTTGTTATCAAAATATTTCTGAACAAATATAATTAGTCTAAAAGTTGAAAACATTTTCGAGATTTCAAAGAATCAGGTAATAAAATGATCAACGAAAGTAAATGAGTAAACGACACATAGGACTGAACGTAATTCTCATCATAACTTGTTTGTAAGTATTCACAATCACAACTAAACACTGATTTGTATGGGAAGCTATAAAGACCAACAATTTTACCAGATAATACGTAAAAGAAATAACGATAAATGATAAAAAAAGAAATACCTATCTTGGAAGGATTACATTATTATATGTCCATATATCGAATGCTGGCTCAGCTGAATTTGTTACAAAGTATAAAGAGTGAATGTTCAATTTTAGTTGGCTCGTAATATGGTAGATAGCTTACAATATCTCTGTCATCCCGAATGTTCTGTACAGAAGTCGAAACTGCTGTCCTTAATAATTAAACCGACATGAAGTTGTCCTTACTATCCTTACCCCATAAAATACGGCAGCGCTTGCGGTCGCCATAAAAATGTTATAAAATATCATGAGCTTGTTCAAGTTGAACGGCTTTCGGTTCTTCATATAAAGTGGACCGAGACGGAGAACAAACGCGAGGTAAAGGGATATAATTCCTAACAATGGAACTGGGCTACCCATTAAAAACCAGTCCGCTACTCGGGGATCTGAAAAAGAAATCGGAGAAAGACAAATAAAACGTTCTATTCAGATAATTATTGTCTCTTTAATTCTCTTATGCATTGCGATGTTTCACTGGTTTTCAATTAATTCTTTATTATTATGACGCTAATATTCATGCGCGCATAGGTTTGAAACTACGCGGAAAATATGCAGGATATACTACCGTACGAAAACATTTGAATAATTACGATATCCGCCGTTTCGGAAAAAAGAAATCAATAACAAGTAGGCTAAACGTTCATTGTTCTGCATTGAGTATTCATCGACCAAGTTACAAAACACATTTGTTCACAGTATTTCTATCTTTAATAAGTCTATTAGAAGCTTTCTTCTACTAAATCATCTGATTTTTTAATTATTTTAACAAACAGTAATGGTTTATCCTTTCCTCCTCGGATTCCTAGAATTTTTGCTCGGTCATAATTATTTTTTCATGAAGAAATCTTCATTAAAACATAATGGAAAGCTATTTCGAGAAACAAAATATAATTTCAGAAAAATAAGGAATAATTATAGATTTTTTCAATAAAAAAATCCAAATTTTTCTTCCTTTGGAAGATAAATTTCAAACTTTTACATTTACATAGAAATTATAGTTGGATTACTGAATCTATTCATGTACAAACAAATCACTAAAATATAAAATTAAAAATATGAAACATGGTCCATATTATTTGTAATACATTTCTTCTTACTTCTTGTACCACATTTCTCATTAATTTTTGATAAAACATTATACAAACACAATAATACCAACTGAAATAAGCTTAATTAATAATTATTAACATCAATTACCTGCTGCATCCTCCATAATGTATCGATACGTTTCCAGGAGTCCCACGTTCTTTAAAGAGTGAAGAAATCATTCGCTGAATTATTTGAATAAATCCATATAAATAATGTTTGTAAGAATAAAAGAGAAAAGTAGATCACAAAGAAAAGGTAATGTAAAAATAAATCAGCTAAGAATTGAAAATTTTTTACTGTCAACGATGTGCAATTCATTAATGTTAATTCTTTCCTTAAACGGTTTGGAAGTCGATTTTGAAAAAGCATTTACGTTCGTAATCACGAAATCATTCATATAATTAACAAATTCTAAAACATAAAAAATTCTAATAATATCATTCATTTAAACTTTAATGGAACGAAATATATTTCTCAAAGTTTGCTGCTTCATAATTTCCGTCGCAATAAAAAAGTATACACTAATTACAATAATTTTGTTCAAGTAGTATCATAAAAATGTATTTTTTAAATGATTCAAACAAAATCGTCGTATTGTTCTAGATACAAAGTCCAATAAATTCTGAAATCTTATGGTATTCGTTATGAAGTACCTCAAACTGCAAACTTTAAAGAACCTACTGCAAGTAAAGTCGAACAGGCAAACAAACAGATTTTTCGCAGGATGTTTCCACAATCCTTAATATCCATCGTTTCATTTTACTTCGAAGTTCTACAGAATGAAAGTTTGTTTCAGTTCTTCCACTGAAAATCCGTGTTCAACTTAATAATTTGCTAGATTGCTTTGAAAGACGTCGAAGATACTGGACTAATATTGATTCTCTACTAACGTTTGGAATACGAAAAAACTGTTCGTGTCGAAAGGAAACTGTAAATTAAGAACTTTATATCCCATTCCGCAAGGAACAAGAAACTGAAAAAAATATCGGTGAGTGTTGCTACTACTTATAGATGTAATCCTTTGACATTTTTAAATAAAAAAAAATTAATTTTCAATGTACACAATATTTATCAAACACAACATGATATCATTAAAAAGAAGACAGTTTGCGTATCGTGGTTAACATAAGTAGAGAGCAGTTTTCTTTTAAGTACATAAATGATTAACTGAAAATATTATTCTAACACAACAATGAAACGATACTTTAATTGAACGTAAAAGATATGAAATGGAAAACGCTATAATATATCGATTTTCTTCAAGAATTATGCAAAGAAAATAGAAAAATACAGAAAATAGAACTTTTTTCTGATCAGTAAATGCAAAATTGTTTTTTACAAATTGATGTACTTACACTAAAGCGAAAGTAATTATCAAAACGCTGGAAGGAATAAAACAGAAACATACCTGCGACACGTGAATTGGAAGACCTTGTTCATCCTGGCCATCGAATTTACAGATATCGACTGACATTCGGGTTACTGAACGATTTGAATAGTAGCTATCGACGTTAACACCGTCTTTCACGGCAGCAACCTACTGTCTAAGTTCATCTGCAGGGCAAGCACCCCTAGCAGTGACTCGGGGGCAGGAACGTAACACACCAGCATAGTTCCCTGTAAAGGGTTTCTCGCACACCCCATCTTAATACGATAAAGAAAACATGTTCAAGACCTGTACACTAAAGTATTTTATACATTTAGTATAAAATACGACTAATCTTGATGTGACACTGTAAATATAGTTCGAATCAAATTTTACAAAATTAATTATTGTATTATTTTGATTGCCCATCCTCAATTTTTTGTAAAAAGTTTCAGGTGTCTTCAAAGCTTCAGAAAAACAGTTTAATTACGTCTACAGAATTTCTAATAAATTCAGTTTTTTTAAGTAGAACAAGCATGTACATGTTAGGATAGTGACGATTGATGGAATGCAGATCGTTACGTGAAATGGGATGTTTATAAATATTTTATTAAATTGGGATTGACTCAGACTTACTATTTATTCTATTAAATTCTATTCCTTTATTATTTCTAATACAAAATAAAAGTTTTAATCAGTTAAATGCTTTAATAGAAATCACTGTGTGTCATAATGTACATGACCACATTAGTCATAAATAATTAAATGATCGGTATTAATAGTTACTGAAGTTACAAATAAATTAGACGTTTTTTAAAATTATTATAATTATAAGCAATACAATGATGAGAGTATTTTAGGCAGTTTCATGTTTACTGTTACTTACTTAATGAACATAAATACAAATTTAACTCTTAAATATTATATGTATATATACATATATCTGAAGTTGACATGCACTATGAACAAATATGTCAGATTGCTCTAACTGACTGTTATTTCCTTCTGATCGTTTTCAGAGTTTATAAAAGTAAATATAAGATAGAAGAATCTTATAAATTATGTTTTTCCTCCTATTCCGTTTTTAAAAATTATGCTCATTTACTCTTGTCAGTTGTGTATATTAATAAAAACTCGAAAGTGTGATATGTGGTTTAATAATACAAAAGAAATATACTTTCTGAAAAATAAACTATACCCCTATACAATCAAAAACAAACGTCCGTAAAATTTCTTTAATTTATATATTTGCAATATCTAAAATTAATTTCGTATATACTTTTAAGTAGAAAATGTAGAACTGATAATCAAAATTCAATTATACTATTCCCTATAACTTTGTTAAAACAAAATGGTTACGTGATGAGAATACCATTGGCATGTTTAACCGAACTGTCACGGCGGTATTATGTTAATGCGGGTTCGTTCAATTCTGCAATTTACAGGTCATTGTAAAATAGAGTTTCATGACTTTTGCTAATCACAAATACCATTCAATTACCATAATCGTTACCTGTGTTTTTGTAATTAATTGCGCATTCGCACGTTTCGAATTGTTTGTCAAATTCAGTGATACAGGCAATTAAATATTAAGTGTTTCATTAACACGGCTTACCATGATCAAGATGCAAATTCGAGTGGTAAAAATACCTTTCAAACTAAAATCCATGGAACTTTATGATGGTACATTATTGTATTAATGATGTTAATGAACGATTTCATTTTCTATGGCTATGCATGAAAGCATTGAACCATATCCATTGTCATGTTTAATTGCACAGTGAATTATTCACGTGTACAATATTTTTCTGGTATTATTAAAGTCTGGTATTTTATTAAACAAAACACCGAATGATATTATACAATATAAAAAGAAAATATATCGTTTATTATATATAAAAGTAATTATAATTTGTATATATTTGAATAATTAGTATTTACATACACGATTATGAAAGAACATTTTCTATAGAAAAAATTAATTTTACGAAATCTTTAAAAACTACTAAAACCACACTACAAATAATCGATAAACCATATTTCTATTTTATAGAAACTATTCAGTTATTGATTAAGTCACAAAAAGAACCTTGACACGTTAATATTTTATATCTAATTTTTTAAATACTTCGTTCTTACACATTATTTTACTTACTTTTTAAAATGGCCTATTTAATACTATTTTTCTGAGTAGTTTTGTTATATATTTAAATATTTTTAAAGATCTTACGAACAGGTTACTGCGAAATACAACTGACTTTTGATGAGAATATCTACCTACATGTATACCAACACGTATGAAACGATCGCTATTGCGTCTCTTATCAGAATACGGGTCACTGAAACTTTTGTTAGAACTGCGATAGACCTATTTCAGACAAACACAATGGTTTCCGATCGTTAGTCTCTTAATATCAAACTACTTCATCTTTCATTACATCTTATCACATTTCAAATCTAAATAGTGAATTTTTCAATATATAATGTTCGATTAAATAGGCATTATGGAGAAAACAAATTATAATTTCATAGCTTTAGAATATTATTAAACTGATAAAAATTCTGTTAATGCAAATAAGTTTTATAAAGGACACACTCCATAATATTAAAAATTGAAAAATAATATTCCATTACGAAATAAATGTAATTATAAATGTATTGTCAAACTTAAAAATTTTATTAAGTATTAATACTTGAAATAATTTTATTGTAATAAGTAAGTAAATGTTTCTTGTTTTTTTAAACAAAGAATTGCAGCATCCATTGACTTAAGACTTCATAGATGTCGCTAACATACAGTAATTAGTATGATGTTATAGAAATGAAGAATAATTAAACGTGCGAACAGTAAGGGTATTTTAAATAAACAATTAGAAGGAAAATTATTTATATTTTATTTACAAATACATTTCTTAAACAAATCTACACAAATGTTTTGATAAAGTACTACAGATTATCAAAGAAGAGGAAATTAATAAAATTGAAGTTATATTACGTTCTTATGAAAGAACTGTTGGTTTGACATTACGAAACATTCAAATTAAGTCATTTTATACACTTAAAAATTCAAGCTAAAAAATTGATATTTACGACAATAAATATTATACATATCACGTGCAAAAACATTTTATCAGATATTGCTTAAAGTGAGTACTTCTGTCACCAATTTTCATTATACAGACTTTTGAAAAGTATATCAAGATATAATACTTCGTATTTATCACTTCAGTCAACAATATCATAAAGTACATGAAAAGAAATATACCCGTAATCATGATTTTTGTAAATCAACGTTATGTTCATTCTATTTATATGATGTCAATATAGAAAACAAGTTGATTGAACAATAAAAATGTAAAAAGCCACAAAAATGTAGTAAGTGTTGTAAAGTCGACTAACGTGTCGTAGTAATCTCATTTCCTCGAATAATCCAACGTGTAGAGGTAAATACAGAAAAAGAAAATATTGTGATTGCCCAGGACGGAATTATAAAAGTATGATAAAGTTTTTCTTAGAAACCATGAACGAACTGCTTCTGCCAAGCATTTTTCGTTCCAAGAATAAATCAATCTTTTCTTTCCTGACAAATATTATATTTATTCTCCACTAAACAGTCGTCGAAATCAGTTTAATTGAAACACTATGGTTTACAAATAATTAGATAATAAACTCACCTGTTGTTTCTAAAATATGAATCATATTTTAAAGTGATACATATACTGCGTTCGCACAATACGTTCATTCAGTGAATCGTAAGCAATTTATTAAAAAATAGCTTCAAAAAACGCTTACTTACGATAGATTGGGATACAATGGCGGTTGCAAATCATTATGTTCTACATAGAACGAACGCAGTTCTATAGATATATATATATATATATATATATATAGGGCTTCTCTATATGCTGTCACTTGTGCCAGGATTAGACGGCAGGTACGTCGCGACGCCGCGGGCTCTGCGACGAACGTAGTCACGAATTGACTTCGTACCTTGGCATCAGAAATTTAGTGCCGGTCCCTCTCCTAATCAGATCAACTGTCTGCTAGGTTTCGCCTAGTTAACCCAGACGAATTGATTTTCGTGGTTGGAATTCGTTATTTCTTTCGCTAAGAATTGATTAAAACCTTTATATAGAACCAAATATAAAACTACATACAATGGAACTCACATCTTTTTTCTGATACATTTCACCTGTTTAATTCGTAACGTATAAAATATATAATACAATTTTTTTAAAATTAGAAAATGAATATGCTTTCCAAAATGAAAATTAATGTGATAGAAAATTATCATGAAATTAAGTTTTTATTTTACGTCATTAATTCTTTTCACATTTGATAAAATACATTCATTTATCAAACAAATCGTAATGATTCAAATAAACAATTCAATAGGTAATTTCACAATGTTTTTTCAGTATTATCTTTAAACATATAGCATGTAGTTATATACCGCCTATGTACATTTTTTATATTAAAAAGAAAGTGCAAACGTCACTAGTCAGTAACTTTTTTCATTCTAATGATTGAAGAATCGTATTGAGAATTAAAAGTTTTATAATATTTTAAAAAATTCTGATTTCTATTTTATCTGAGGAGATAATGAAGTATAACCTACTTCTTTCATTTTAAAAGAGGAAAAGTATATAATAACGAAATCTTCGATTCCTCAGTAATTTACAAATGAAGTTTAAAAAATACGTTTATTGTAAAATTAAAACGTATTACTCTGTCTGCTTTCATAATAAAATACGATGTCTACCTTTTCTTTTATTAATAAAAATTCGGTTGGAATTTTCTAAGCTAACTTTAATGTTGCCAACCCTTTTCGAACAAAGATTCTTTAAAGTACACAAAAACTTCAGCAAATTCCAACAAATTACATCACCGAACGCCTAAATAATATAGAATAAAGAAACTACATACTAATCCCTTGCTGTCCGAACAGTGCAATGATTCGTTTCCAACTTAACATTACAAACATAAAAGTTTAACCCCGCAAAGTATCAACATTTGCCCGCAAAGGGTTAAATGCAAGCATATGAATATTTGTCATTAATTATTTTGAGTTAATTAATTGGTTAGAAAGATTGATCTGGAAAGGGAGATGAAAAAAAAAGTGACAATACAATTTCAATAATACAATCACGAATTTTGTTTATATTTTCACAAGTTATGTATCGTTGATTGATTTCTTTATATTAAGGTACATACAATATATATGTAGTTTTGTACGTCATATAGAAAGTCACATGGATTCTCCAAGATTTTCCAACTCATTAAAAACATAATGAATATCTTGTATATCTACCCCTGAATTTTGAACTACGAATCGAAAAAAGTTTGGTTTCTCATGGAGCGGTTGGTAGTTAATCATTAAACTGCCCCTTTTCACCATCTTCTCCTTTAATTTTGGAGCAACCTGCATAAAAATAACAATTTAAAAATCTAATTTTTCAACGATTAATCCTTCTAAGTTAATTAATTTTTCTAAAGAAATACATTTGGTACGCATAGTCTGTTGTGGACCAACTACCAGTAAAGAGGGCAGTTAATTTATCGACAACATAATGTATCTACAGTCGATAACTGGAAGAAACATAAATATCTACAAATGTTAATATTGTTTTCTACTGTATCCATCACCAACATAATAATGTTTTAACTAATTGATAAAATGTGAAAAGCATAATTAATTTTAAAATATAAACTATATATGGATGTGCCCCTACTTTTCTGTATATTTAAAAATATACTTCTAATAAATTTATTTAGATAAGGTTTTTAAAAATCTGCAGAATATAAGTGACCTGTTGAAGGCATAACATGAAAACCAATTTGCAATTTTTTGATTAAAGAAGTAAATATATTACTATGAGCATATTTTGTGGAAATCAAGCTTAATTGAATTATTGATTCATAAATGTCAATAGCATTTGCTGTAATTGTTAATATTAGACATTTCTTACCACATCAAATAGAAAAAAGGAAACATGCGACTTAAGAATTTTATATATAAATTTAAATTGTTTTATTCATTTCACGATTTGAAGAAATTATATTTCTTGATTCAATCAACATTATCCTCGTTTTTCTTTTGATTTATTAATAATATTTTACTTACTTCATTTATTCGTTCTTTATAATTGTACAACGAATGCTGATTTCTCAAAGATGGCGGTATGAACCAAAAACAAACATTTATAAAACACGAATCTACTACCAATTCAAAGGCATCTCTTGTTTCTACTTCTTCTCTAAAAAGAGCTGACAATGTCATCAAGTGGTCAACATGCTTTTCAAACCCCGATGTACCCTGAAACAAAATTGTAATAACATTTAAATGATAACATTTAATTGTCGAAAAACGAACAAATATCCGTAGAAGCTAATTTTGTCTTCAAATACTGTTATAAAGTAGCATAATCGGCATTCTGTTCTCACTGTAGATTTTTTTTCTAATTAAATTAATGAAACATATGCTGATATCTTAGTACAACTTTTAAATCAGAAAATTTTTTAGAAATACTATAAATTATAACATTATTCTACATAATTCGCATACTATTACTAATAACCATTGCAAGTTTTAAAATTTTTCAAATCTACTATTATAAAGAGTAATATTTATAGTGTAAGTTACTTAATGCTATCATGGAATATTGGAAGGAAATATATCTCATAGTACAATGATAGAAAAGAATATTATACAAAGAAACTTGTGAAAATAACGTTATTCACTGTACCAGCAATTATGACTGACAATATCTTGCTAATAAAGGAACATAAAAGTGCTTGGAATTTCTGTCCAACTAATCATAATTGACCACAATATAATCTATGTCAGTTTTGATGGTAACCTCTATATTAGTGAATCAAAAATTTATCATCACAGTAGGTATATACTTGAAAACAATTGTTTACCTTTTAATTAAATTCTCAATTTATTTTACAATTTTAAGCATTAATATATTTCTTTTAATGTGTTCAATAATGAGGAATTACCTAAAAGAACTGATTGTACAAGTTTAACGTATATAGGTACTATATAAATATTTTTCTCATGCAAATGATTTAAAAATACACTCTGAAATAAACCATTTAAAACTAATTTGTTGTGTTTATAATTATTTAATATGGAAATGTTTGGCAGGAAGATAGGAACTTTGAATGCACCAAATCTAAAAGCACTGTTATCGGCAAACCCTTTTAAGAATTTCTAAAGCTTCTTTCATGATCTTGAAAATCCAATGCATAGGTGGAGTTTGAACATTCTTCATTCCTACCAGGGGAAGATAATGTATTCATAAGTATATTGGTAAACACTTGAAATATGGCATACAGACCCTTAACTTCTACGGAATGCACTGCAGCTGCAGCTTAAGCCACAAAGTACAAGGTGCACAATTAAAGGAAGATCGGGGGAAAAAATGCTATCAAGGCTAGTTTTCTACAAATTTGCATAAGTGGTTAACACTTTGAGATTAACAAGGGGATAGGAGAACCTTTATGTCATGCAAGTAAGTCTTATCTTACGTTCTGAGCACTTTGTATAGAAGATACTTAAGAAAGGAGCATTATTTCACAGAAAACATTTTCTGCTTTCTTATTTCTATAAGCCAAGAAATTCTTTTCAAGCAGAAATACATTAAATTAAATACCTTATTTATATACAACATTACCTTAGCCTGCCACATGAACCAAAATTTCAATACATCTGGTCTACGTCCACACTGCAAGTACTTGTCTCCAACATCTAAATCTGTAGAGTAAAATTTGTCTTTTTGGAAAAGATATGAAGCCTGCTTGGAATGTGCTTCTTTCAAAATATTTGGATGCCTAGTTAGAAGCAGAGAGCATTGTTGAGGGACAGCTAGTAATTTATGTGGATTAAACAAAATAGAATCTGATCTTTCTATTCCTCTCAATAGGGCATTGTATTTTTTACTAAATATTAAACCACCTCCCCAGGCAGCATCAACATGCAACCACATATTAAATTCCTGACAAATATCAGCAATGTCAACCAATGGATCAAAGGCACCCAACA